ATTATTCACTCAATTTTATTTATCATCATGATCTTTAATTTGACCCGAGAGAGAAAGCAAGTTGCAGGTGTAGGACTTGAACATCAGTTGCCATGTGGTAGTCCAGCACCCCAACCACCATGCCACCTGTTGGCCCCTTTTGTTCAGAAGTAATAAAGCTTTTTTTTTTTTAATAATTTTTTAGGATTATTAATTTAGTTTTATTTATTTATTAATTTATTTTAATTTGACCAGAGGGAGAAAGAGAGGGAAAGTGAGAAAGAAAGCCACCAGGTCCAGGACTTGAACCGTGGTGGGCCATGTGGGAGTGTCCAGCGCATTAACCACCATGCCACCTGCTGGTCCCCCAGAAGTAGTAAAGCTTTAAATACAGGTATTTGGTTGATTTCTTAGAAACTGGTATTTTTCTTACCTCATGGAAATACTAGGTGAACATGTGGTTGTAATTATTATCCTTATATTTACCTCTTATTTTCATTGCAAATAAGTGAAATTTGAGCTTCATGACTTCCCCTCCTTTTCTCCCATTTTGATGAATCAAGCATTTTTTAATATACCAGAAGATTTTAAAATTAATTATTAGACCGCTTGCTAAATGTTGAGTAGATCATAATTAAGAATTTGTGTCTTGGGACCCCAGCAGACAGCGTAATAGTTGTGTCTATGTCACTGGACTCCCACATAGTTGATTGTGTTAGTCTTGGACCAAGCAACCTAAAAGTCATGCCAGGTGTGTGTGCATGCCCAAAATCCTGAGAGGAGAATGGAGGAGAAGGGGTTGCGACATGGCCATCCCCCGTGGGGTATGATTTCTTGCCTTTTTAATGATTTTTATTTATTTATTTATTTATTTATTTTTCACATGAGTTTTTCCAGAGAGAGAGAGAGAAAGAGAAGCAAGCAAGTCACCAGGTCCAGGCCATGTAGGAATTACAGTGCCTTAACCACTATTCCACCTGCTGGCCCCTGTGTCAGGCTTTTTGAATAGTTATTCTTTCTCTGGACTAAAGATATGAATTCCAGAACTCTGCTGATTTGTTAAGAATTATTTTGTTTAATTTTATTTATTTATTTAAATTTGACCAGAAATGGGGAGTGAAGGGGAGAAGCCACCAGATCCGAGACTCGAACAGCAGTTGACCATGTGGATTTTCTAGAAGAAAATCTAGAACTAGCAGGTGGTATGGGAGTTGTGGTTGAGGCTCTGGATACCCGCATGTCTGGACATGGTTTGAATCCTGGACCTAGTGGCTTGAAAATAATCTTGGGTGTGCATGCATGTCCCAACTCTCAGAAGAATGGAGGAGAAGGAGTTGCAGCATGGCCGTTTTCTGGGGGAGAGGATCTATGATGGATTTCTCACTTTCCCTCTCACTGTCTCTCTCTTGTTGAGCACATGTGTCCTCTGGCAGAAACCTTAAAAAAAAAAAAGAAAAAACAAGAAAATCCTACCTGAAGTGTGTAATTTTTTTTTATAATTGTCAGAGACTGTGTGTGCCATGGGGTAGAGGGAAGCAACCCCCTTGTGAGGTGTTTTACTGCAGTCCATTCTCTATTTCTCCATCCTATCGAGAATTTGGGCACACATGCACCGCTGTTTCGTTTTTTGTTTGTTTTTTTTTTTCTTTATTCTAGATGCCAGGTAGGATTCAAACCATGGTCAACCATGTGGGAACCTGCTCTCTTACCCACTTAGGCTACAGGAATGGCCTTCTAGTTAATCTTTCAAGAATGGTCAGCACAGGGACCAGCAAATGGCATAATGGTTACATTGCTGGACTCCCATGTAGTTGACAGCGGTTTGAATCTCGGACTTGGTGGCTTAAACTCATGCTGGGCATGTGGACATGTATGCCTGCCCACCCAAAATCCTAAGAGGAAGCGATTAGGGATTGCTGTGTGGCCATCCTCCCAGGGAGGTGATTTCTCACTGTCTCTCCAGTGAGCACATGCCCCCAGTAGCAAAAATCTCACTTTTAGTAAAAAAGGTCAGCACTGTGCTGTCTCCTTATCCTCTTTGTTAAGGCAGCTCATATCCCTAATGGTCAACCTCTGGACCTTATGGCTTCATATACGTAACCAGGTGTGAGTGTGTGCCCAAAATCCCAAAAGGAGGTAGAGATTGAGAAAGGATTGTAGCATGACCATTTCCTGTTGGGGTACTTTTTTTTTTTGGAGATGTTTTTGCTATAGGGCGCGTTCCCTCGCCAGAGAGACAGAAAATGAGAAATCACCCCCCTGGGGGGATGGCCACACCGCAATCCCTTCTCCTCCACTCTCCTCTCAGGATCTTGGGCACGCACACACACACACCCGGCGTGAGTTTTAAGCCACCGGGTCCGGGACGTGAACCACGATCGACTACATGGGAGTTCAGTGATATAGCCATTATGCTAACTGCTGGTCCCGCGAAAGAATTTTTGATAATATGGATGAGCTTGGAGAACATTATGTTAAGTGAAATAACTCAGAGAAAGAAAGACAAATACTCCATGTTCTCATTAATGCGTGAAAGCTGGAAAAGGTTATCTACTACAGTCTGGGGATGCTGGAGGGAGAGATAGGGGAAGATTGATTCCGATTTTACCCACAATGTATGCGTGAACCAGAACGTGACATTGCACTCCATATCTGTATACCTATATATATGTACACACTGCTACATATCAATTAAAGATGGAATAAAACTGACAATGCAGTTTTGAAATGATTGTAAATACTTCTATAACAAACATTGCATTCTGGACAATAACATAAGGAAATTGTATGGTTTTGCGATTTTAATTTATTTTATACAACATTGTTTTTGTAGTCCAATATGCAAATAAGTAGATCAAACAGAAGCCTAAATGTTTATTTTATTAAGGTTTTGCCATAGGGTACATGTGCTTGCTGGAGAGAAGCAGAGGGAAAGTGAGAAATCACCCCTCATGGGGGACGGCCCTGCCACAGTCTCTTCTGCATTCTCCTTGTGGGATTTTTGGGCACCACACATATGTGTCCCACATAATTTTCAAGCCACTAGTTCTGAACTCGAACCAGGCTCAGCCCTGTGGGAGCCTACTCCCTTAACTGCCATGCCATCTGCTGGCCCCAGAAGCCTACATCTTTTTTTTTTTTTTTTGGAGAGGTTTTTGCTATAGGGCGCATGCGCTCACCAGAAAAACAGAGAGAGACAGAGAGCTAGAAAGCGAGAAATCACCCCCCGGGGGATGGCCACACCGCAGTCCCTTCTCCATTCTCCTCTCGGGATCTTGGGCACGCACACACATGTGCCTGGTGTGAGTTTAAGCCGCCGGGTTCAGGACTTGAACCGCGGTCGACTACGTGGGAGTCCAGCGACATAGCCATTACGCTAACTGCTGATCCCAAAGCCTATGTCTTAATAATGCTTGGTTTAATTTGTTCTTGGGGGTGGCTATGTTATTCTTTGTCTTATATAATATTTTATTTTATACTTTTTAGAAAAAAAGTTTTCCCCAGAGATCACATGTGCTTGCCAGGGAGGTAGGGAGAAAACAGGAAGAATGAAAAGGAAGGGGAAGAAAAATTAATCGATTGATGGGGCACGGGCAGAAGCACACTGTAATCCCTTCTCCATTCTCCACTGGGGGTTAGGCATGCTTGTGTAGTCAACCATGGTTCAAGTCCTAGGCCCGGCAGCTTAAAACTCAGGCTGGCATGTGTGCGTACACATGCGCACATGCCCAAGATCCCTAGAAGTAAAGAGATTGTGGTGTGGCCGTCTCCCTGGGGGGGTTGATTTCTCACTTTTTGTCTCTCTGTTATCTCTGGTGAGCTCACACTATAGCGAAAATTTTTCTTAAAAAAAAATTCATTTTACTCTCTATTTCTATTTGTTTTTAATTATCAGAGGACACATGTGCTGGTCAGTAAGAGAACTCATCCCTCAAAGGAGCATGGCCATGCCATAATCCTTTCTCCTCCATTTCTCCATCCCATCGGGATTTAAATATGCACGCATATGTGCCCAGTATATTTTTCAAACTGCTGGGCTAGGATTCAAGCCACTGTTGGCCATGTAGGAGCTGAGTTCCTGCGCACAGGGCTTAACTACTATGTTACGGGCCTGCCCTACCTCTCCCCCCACCCCCAGCTTATTTTTTAAGATCATCTTTATTGTAGTTGCAGATATACAATTCAGTTTCCAGTATAAAAACAAATGAACTGGGGCTGGCAGGTAGCATGGTGGTTAAGGCACTGGGCTCCCACATGGCTGACTGTGGTTCAAGTCCTGGGCCTGGTGGCTTGCTTTCTCACTTTCTCCCTTTCTGTCTCTCTTTGGTCAAATTAAAAAATAATAATAATGAAAAAAATTAAAATAATTACTTTTTTAAAATGCTATTTTTCTAAGGAAACATAATAAGAATTACTCCATCTCCATATTCAAAATCACGTACTAGTTATAGTAACTGAATTCTAATTTGGTGAAATATATAAAATCTTTTCTCATTGAATCCTGTGTTCCTGGTTTTCTAATGGTAACACACATCAAGTAAGTATGATAAGAGCATTTAAGAAAGTAGAATTTTAGAGTAAACTGATTTTCCTTGACAACTTTTAGATAAATGTATTTTGTTGTCTCATATTTTATAATTCATGTATTTTAATTTTTTTGAGTTTTTGCTATAAGGGTCTATGCTTGCGAGAGAGAGATGGGAAGGGGAGTAACTTACTGAAATAAAATCCATCTGAATTCTTCCTCTCACCTGAGCAAATTATAGCTATTTAATAGACAAACAGGAATGCATATTAGACCAGAAGTTATAAAAGGCCTGGGCCATGTGTAAGCATCCTGTGTAACAAGTTTTTGGAAAATATTCAAATAAACTTTGAAGGGAAGAAAGTGAGTTAGGTATAGACCATGTGTCTTACCTCGTAAGTATTACTGGCTGCATGATTTGGAATAAATTAATTTGTGCTTAGTTAGTTTTTCATTTGCAATTCTGGAATGAATATGTATTTTTTTTAATTCACAGCTTTCCCATGGTTTGGCATGGACATTGGGGGAACGCTAGTGAAGCTCTCATATTTTGAACCTATTGATATCACAGCAGAGGAAGAGCAAGAAGAAGTTGAGAGCTTAAAAAGTATTCGGAAATATTTGACTTCGAACGTAGCATATGGATCTACTGGCATTCGAGATGTACACCTTGAACTGAAGGATTTAACGCTTTTTGGGCGAAGAGGGAACTTGCACTTTATCAGATTTCCAACCCAGGACCTTCCTACTTTTATCCAAATGGGAAGAGATAAAAACTTCTCAACATTGCAAACGGTGCTATGTGCTACAGGAGGTGGTGCTTATAAGTTTGAAAAAGATTTTCGCACAGTAAGTACTTAGTACTCAACCAAAAATTGATACCCATTCTGTTTGTTTTTTCAAATATGAGACTGTTCCCATAGCATGATTTCTTTAGGTTAGCTTTCCCTTTGGATACAGGGGAAGTATGTTTCTATTTCTGTTTCAATTTTTCTTTTTCTTTTTTTTTTTTTTTGAGAAGTTTTTGCTATAGGGCGCCGCCTGCGCTTGCCAGAGAGACAGAAAGCGAGAAATCACCCCCCAGGGGGGATGGCCACTCCGCAGTCCCTTCTCCTCCATTCTCCTCTCGGGATCTTGGGCACGCACGCACACGTGCCTGGCGTGAGTTTTAAGCCACTGGGTCTGGGACTCGAACCGCGGTCAACTACGTGGGAGTCCAGCGACATAGCCATGACACTAACTGCTGGTCCCTCTGTTTCAATTTTTCCAGTAGGATGCATGTACTGGCTAGTGAGAGAGAGATGAAAGTAAGAAATCATGTCCGTGGGAAGGGCCACTCTACAGTCCCCTCTCCATTTTCCTTTCTGGATTTTGGATTGCATACACATGTGTCTGGTGTGTTTTTCAAGCCATTGGGTCTGGGACTTGAACTGCAATTGGCCTTGTGGGATCCAACCACCTTAACCTTCATGCCCAACCTGCTAGCCTCAAGGGGAAGTAGGTTTTTGTGACATGCTCTTCATTTGAGGCATTTGAAGCACCTTTATGGGATGACTGAAAATTGATTGGGGTGTATCATAAAGCTACAATTAAAAGGGGCTTTTAGTAAATTTGGCAGTCTACAAAGCGAGATAAGAACGAGGCTTGACTTATTTTTACTATTTTTATCCTTCATTTGTGTAGTTTTTGATTATTCATACGAGAGTACTTCAAGAAGTTAGTGGACAAGATGCAGTTAAAGTGCAAGTTTATTTCACTGCAGAACATTTGAGATCCATGCAAAATTTTTAAATAATATGCATTTTCTATTAACTTTTTAAAAACTCCTGTATAAGCATTTCACCCAAGGCTGTCTCCTCAAATCCCAGGTTTGAATGCCAGTGTCTGTTGATATATAGACACCTGATTGAAAATTCCTGTAGCATCTCTTTTTCCTGGCTTTGTACCATCAACTCTATAATGTTCCTGCCTGAAAGGTGGAAATTTGGATAGGGCAGGAGGACTAAATATTGATCATGTGCTGTTAGGGGTTTGTCAAGCTTCTGATCTTTTTACCAGAATAAAGAATTAAAAATTGGCATTGGGGGCTACTGAAATTCATTTTTCTTAAAAATGTAGATGTGGATCATTTAACTTCTCAAAGTCATATTAAAAAATTCTGTTAATAGTATATACAAGAGGTCTTTAAGAATTATGGAAGATACACATTATGAAAAAACTAAGCAAGGATATTGTTCTAGTTCATTATTCCATTGCTAATAACAAAAATACCCTGAGTCTTGGTTGATTTAAGATAATATTGGTTTACTGAGTACATAGTTAGGAGGCCCAGGTCCAGGAGCCATTATGGTGAGGGTTTTCCTATGGGTGGCATCCCAGGATGCTGTGCAAGGCAGGAGTAGAGCAGACTGACTGTCATTGGTATTCTTATAAATTCAGCAGAAGTCAGTCACGAAGATTCACTTTTTTCCTCTTGGATAATACTGGTTTCTATACAATTTGAGTAATTTGAACAAAAGTTTCATGAATTTGAGACCAGTTTGATATTTAATGTTTGCTAGTATTCCTGCCAGAGCACTGGCCTCCCAAAAGTACTGTCCTTCATTGAAGTAAGCTTTTACCTGGCATCGAGGATACTGATATCCAGATGGGGAAATTTAATTTTATAAATGTAACTTTTTAATCATCAATTCTATACATTTGTTTTTGTTGACAGTAATGTATTAGGCAAACATTTGACCATCATGTATGTGTCAGGTATTTTACTAAATCCTGGAATAATATACTAATAAGACACACACTTGGGGCCAGCAGGTAGCATGGTGGTTAGGGTACTACACACACATGGCGGACTATGGCTCAAGTCCCTACTGGCAGCCCGAAAATCACAACAAACAAACAAACAAATAAATAAATGTTTATTTAAAAAAAAAAAAAAAAAGACACACTCTTTATTGTAGGGACCAGCAGTTAGCTTAATGGCTGTGTCACTGGACTCTCATATAGTTGACCGCGGAGTGAGTCCCAGACCCGGCAGCTTAAACTCACATTGGGCGCGTGTACGTGCATGCCCAAGATCCCAAGAGGAGAATGGAGAAGGGATTGCGACTCCCATGTAGTTGACCATGGTTCGAGTCCCACACCTGGCAGCTTAAACTCATGCTGGGCGCGTGTGCATGCATGCCCAAGATCCCAAGAGGAGAATGGAGGAAAAGGGATTGCAGCGTGGCCATCCCCCCTGGGGGGCGATTTCTTGCTTTCTGTCTCTCTCTGTCTCTCTGTCTTTTGGTGAGCATACGTGCCCTATATCAAAAACCTAAAAAAAAAAAAGTCTTATATTATAGGCCACACAAGTAAGTAAATTGTAAGTAATAGCACAAAACATTGCAGTTAACATTGTTCCTATGAAAAGAGATGCTGTGGGAACACAGGACTATTCTGACAACTGGAGAATTGAAAATCTTCCCCAAAAAGTGATGTCTAAAGCAAGATGTTTTATAACAAATACTTTGTAATATAGTCCTTAGTAACCTGAGATAAATAATTTCAACAAATATCCAAGCTGTAATATAAAGACAGGAAATTAATGTATTTATAGATCAGGTTTTTTTGTCTTTTTTTGAGAGATTTTTGCTATAGGGCATGTGTGCTCGCCAGAAAGACAGAGAGACAGAAATCACCCCCCAGGGAGGATGGCCACACTGCAGTCCCTTCTCCTCTGTGGCTGATTTCCTAAGTCCCTGCCCACTCAGTGTCAGTTTGGTCTGTGCCTCTCCATCTTTCAAAAACTAAAATGCCCTCAGAGGTACCATCCTCACTGATAACCAGTGGACCAAAGAGATTTTGGTGGGAAGTAAAACAAGTGAAAATGTGAGGGTTATAGATGACTTTGACATTTCTAAAGTATATGAAAATTATGTAAGTTAAATCAAGTATTTTGAATACTGTCCTCTTGTCAGTTAACTTTATTTAAAATTTTTTTTTCCAGATTGGAAACCTCCACTTGCACAAACTGGATGAACTTGACTGCCTTGTAAAGGGCTTGCTGTATATAGATTCTGTCAGTTTTAATGGACAAGCAGAGTGCTATTATTTTGCTAACGCCTCAGAACCTGAACGCTGCCAAAAGATGCCTTTTAACCTGGACGATCCTTACCCACTGCTGGTAGTGAATATTGGTTCCGGAGTTAGTATTTTAGCAGTCCATTCCAAAGACAACTATAAACGAGTGACTGGGACAAGGTAGTAACCTTTTTAGTCTTACTGCAGCATTCACATTGTTACATACACAGAAGTTGTAAAGTTAATATAGCTAGTTTTTCCAGGAAAATAACATGTATTTGTGCAGCAGAAAAACTGCATACGTGTAAGGTGCAAAGGTGAGTATGTCAGACTCAATCTAAATCACTGAGTGTTTATTACTGGTCAGCGTCATTGTGTATCCTAAGTTCTTTGTCAGGCATCCAAGGTGGCCTCAAAATGGTAAGAGTGAATTTTTGTCTGGAATTAGTCTAATAACATTTTTCCCTAGAAATTAACAAAAGAGCATCTGTTCATTACAAAATAAGGTATCTGTTTATATTTTATTTCCCAAAGCATTTTTTTAAATTATTTTATATAACTTTATTTATTTTAATTTGAACAGAGAGGGGCAGAGTGAGTGAGCAAGAGAGAGGGAAAGCAAGCTGATCTGGGGCTCAAACCACGGTCAGCCATGTGGGAGTCTTGTGCCCTTAACCACCACACCACCTTCCAGCCCCTCCCAAAGCATTTTTCTTCTTTCTCTGTTTTTCACTTATGGATTGCCACATGCCAAATAGATTCTCATTTAAACTCTAGCATTAAGGGCCAACTCAGTGGACTAGTGGTTAAAGGAATTAGACTCCCACATGACTGACTACACAGTTTGAATCCTGCCCCTGGCAGCTTGAGAAACACTAATAGGTATGTGTGTGTGTGCGCCCAACATCCCTACAGGGTAGAGAACTGGGAGAGAAAGGGTTGTGTTGTGAGCACACTCCACCAGAGGGGTGCTTTCTTCTTCACTCTATATCATACACGCACCCCTGGCAAATAAACAAACCCCAGTATTGGATAACACTGTAATAAAACTTCACAGAGTGAATTAAATGTGAGCTCCTTATGGAGCTCATCCCAAACAGCCCATCAAATTTTCTGTAAGACCTGAAACACGGATGTGAAATGAGATTCAGCTTTTTCTCTGTATCACTTTATCATCTTTTAAAGAGAGGAGGTGGAGATTCCTGTTTACATTTAATCAGGGAAGAAAGATTTTGAGATACTTTAAATTAGGATGATTTGTGAGGAATAAACTTGTTTAATACTTTGTTTTTATGACTTAAAGCCCACCTCCTTTATAACTATGCCAAAGAATTACAAGTATTGAACAACAAAAATTGAGTCTGTTAACTAGTTGAGACTAAGGGGCAAAGGTTTTAAAGTTAGGGATTATTTTTGTGAACATAACCCAAAAGAATAGCAAAACCCAGTAAACTTTTGTCATTAATATCATGACCAGCTCAGCATAATTTCCTTGTTTTGTATGTGTGTGTATAATTTTATTATTACCATTTGAAAATTTGCTGTAGGGCATGTGTCCTCACCAGAGAGCTAGTGAGAGAGCGAGCAAGAGAGTGAGAAAGCGAGCCACTACATCCAGAACTTGAGCTGCAGTCAGCTGTATGGGAGTCTGGTGCCTTATCCACCGTGCCTGCCGCCTGCTGGTCTCTTCTTTTTTCTTTTTCTTTTTTAAACAGAGATTTTTGCTATAAAGCACATGTCCTCACTGGTGAGAGAGAGAGAGACACAAAGCGAGAAATCACCATCGAGGGGGGATGGCTACACCACAATCCCTTCTCATTCCGGGATCTTGGGCACATACCCACCACATGCCTGGTATGAGGATTTTTTGTTTTGTTTTTTAAAATTTAATTTCTTTCTTTTTTTTTTAAAATTTAATTTCTTTCTTTTTTTTTTTTTTTTTTTTTTAATTTGACCAGAGAGAGGAAAAGTGAGAAAGCAAGCCTTAATTTATTTTATTTAACTTTATTTATTTTAATTTGAATAGAGAGTGACAGAGTGAGTAAGCAAAAGGGGGGAGGGAGTGAGAAAGCAAGCTGCCAGATCTGGGGCTCAAACCATGGTCAGCCATATGGGGGTCTAGTGCCCTTAACTACCACACCAAGTCTAGGACTTGAAACACAGTTGGCCATACGGGAATCCAGCCCTCTGAACACCACCCCACCTGCCGGCCCCAGTCTAGGTTATTTGTTTATTTATTTATTTAAGGAAGTATTTATTTATTTAATTCTATTAAGAATTATTTTATTAATTTATTTTAATTTGACCAGAGAGAGAGAGAGAGGGGGGAAGCAAGAAATCAAGCCACCAGGTCTGGGACTTGAACCATGGTCAGCCACGTGGGAGTATTTAGTGCCCAACCACCATGCCACCTGCTGGTTCCTGTTATTTTTTTTTTAATTTGACCAGATAGAAACAGAGAGAAAGGGAAAGCGAGAAAGCAGCCACCAGGTCAGGGACACAAACCACAGTCTGCTGTGTGGGAGTTCATCGCCCTTAACCACCATGCCACCTGCCAGCCCTGCAGTCTAGGTTATGTTAAGTGTCAATGTGTTATGTAGAATTATAAAACTGTCAGTCCAAGTAAATATGCCATTTACAGAATTATTGGAAACTATTTAAAATTACAGACTCTCTCATTTTAAATATATGGTTCTTTTAATGTTCGTTTCTTTTAAAAATTATTATTGCCAGAAAGCGCATATGCTTGCCAGAGAGAGGAACCCCCACCCCACCCTGCAGTGGAGTGTGGTCTCACCACAGTCTCTTTTCCTGTATTTCTTCATCTCTGCCCTGTAGGATATTGGGTGCATGTACTGGAGCTTGGGTTGTTTTTCATGCCTGTGGGCTGAGATTAAAACCTCTGTTGACCATGTGGCTGGCATCTGGTATCCAAAGCACAGCTTTTAACTTCTGTACAACAGGGCAACCTGACATTTATTCCTTTCGAATACACTTTTTTTTTTTTTTGTCATTGTTAGCAATTATAAATTAAAGACCCCTCCTGTCTTTTATGTTGTTTCTACCAAATGATTGATTGATTGGCTTTCTTTGCATTACTATTTCTGCACTTACCAGTAGTAATGTGTTCTGTGTGCTTATTGAATAAATGCCCTTTTACTTTGGAAAAAAAATACAGTGTATAAATGCAACTTAGCAAGGTTTTTTTGTTTTCTTTAGCCTTGGAGGGGGTACCTTTCTGGGTTTATGCAGTTTATTGACTGGTTGTGAAAGTTTTGAGGAGGCTCTTGAAATGGCATCCAAAGGTGACAGCACCCATGCTGACAAGCTGGTCCGTGATATTTATGGAGGCGATTATGAAAGATTTGGTCTACCAGGCTGGGCTGTAGCATCTAGGTAAGTTTAACATGTTGTATTTCAAACTGTTCATTTAGCTTTTGGAAAAGCAGTATGTCAGGTTGCTTTACTTAACCAGTTCAGAATACTTAACTTATCTGAGTTGTGAATACTGATGTAGGTTTAAAATTAAGTATACATTAAGTTTACTCTGAATGTATCTTATAAGAAGCTATTTTTGGGGACCAGCAGGTGTTATGGTGGTTAAGGTGCTGGACACTTTCACATGGCCAACCATGGTTAAAGTCCTGGACCTGGTAGCTTGCTTTCTCACTTTTTCTCTGTGTATCTCTCTTGTCAAGTTACAAAATGAATGAATGAAAGAATAAATTAAATAATTAAAATAAATCTTGAATAATTAAGGATCCTTCTAGTATATTTCTCCATGTTTTTATTATTTTTCCCTTTTCTTAATACAAGGTATACTGTTCTATAACATACATACTATAAAATCGCCATATATCTTAGAAATCATTCTATATTATCAATGTCTTTATTTTGTAAATGATTATATATACATCTGCTAAGATATGAAATGTTGTTTATTATCAGCAGACTTGACTCTATTTTCTTTATCTGCAGTTTTGGAAATATGATTTATAAGGAGAAGCGAGAATCTGTTAGTAAAGAAGATCTGGCAAGAGCTACTTTAGTCACTATCACCAATAACATTGGTTCTGTGGCACGAATGTGTGCTGTTAATGAGGTAAAGAAACACTATATAAAAATTGTGACTTGGAATTTTATGTACATCTTCAAACAGTATTTGTTTTCCTTAAGGATGGCTCTAGGGTTAAGATCTATCCCATTAAATTCCAAGACTTATTAAGTGTATATGTTACCCAATTCTGATGTTACCTTCAAAGAAAGTAGATTATTTATTGGAATAGGACAAATAGATATTTATATTTTGTATTCATTCAGAAACCTTTTCAGAAATATACAACCTACGGGAACCAGCAGTTAGCGTAATGGCTGTGTCGCTGGACTCTCATGTAGTTGACCACGGTTCGCGTCCTGGACCCGGTAGCTTAAAACTCACACCGGGCGCGTGTGCGTGCGTGCCCAAGATCCCGAGAGGAGAATGGAGGAGAAGGGATTACGGCGTGACCATCCCCCCTGGGGGGTGATTTCTCGCTTTCTGTCTCTATGTCTCTCTCTGTCTAAAATTCTTTCTAAGTATAAGCCATTTTGAGGTAATATGAAAAGCATTTTTCATTGTTGCATTTCATTAGTGAAATACTTGGAAGTTTTCTTACTGCCCTCGGCTTCTTTACAGTGCTGCCTTGTTGCATATGGATCAAGCAGCATTGTACAGGGCTATGAAGGCATTGAGATTTGGTCTTCACGTGATATTTGAGTATGTTTACTACTTGCTGTAACAAGAGTGAAAAGCATTTACTACTCTGGCTATCTCATGGGAATTTTTTGTGGGAAAGAGAACAGTCATGTGTTGCTTAACCATGGGCATTTGTTCTTAGAAATCCAATTCTAGCTTATTTTATTGTGGAAAACCGACTGAATATACTTAATACCAACTGAGATGGCAACATGGTATACATGTAGGCTACATGGTGTAGCTTTCTTACAGAACCACTGTCAGGCGCAGTCTGCAGTTGGCTGAAACAGCATGTGAAACCTGACTAATTCTATTTTCATGTATTTATGCCCATTGAATTTTAGTAAGTTTCAAATACTTTAATGTACTGGGAAGTTTCTTTATGAGGGATCCTTCATTTGTCCGTTCATGTATTTATCCACTGAGTAAATATTTACAGAATACTATGTGCAGGCATTCTTTTAGGCACTTGGGGTATGATACATTAATGAAGAAAATAAAGATTCCTGGCTTTATGGAGCTTACATTAATTCTAGTGATGCATTAGTAAATTGTTTGGTATGTATTTAGGTTATAAACCCTTTTTTTTTTTTTAAGGCTAAAATAAGGTAGAGAAATGGAACTAGGTCAGAGAGGCAGACAAGTTGGTGAGTAAGGAGGTAGTTAAAAGAAAGTTGGGCCAGCCCAGGACATGGTCAGGGCAGCTGAGTATCACAATGCTGAGTACCTGGTTTGAGTCCCAGACTCAGTGGATTGAATAACATGCTGGGTGTGTGAGAGTGTGTGTGTGTGCGTGGGCGCTTGCCTGCTCAGAATCCCAAAAAGGAAGAGAAATGGAGAAAGGATTACAGGGTAATTGGAGGGACCTGAGGGAACTCAGATATGGAAGCAAATATTTGGGGGAGACTTGAGCGGAGACAGCAATCATGCAGAGCCTCTGAATTCTGTTTAAATTCAGAATTTTCTCTCTGAAGTTTTTGCTGTAGGGCAGGTACACTTGCCAGAGAGATGCATAGAGAGAGTAGGTGTCCTGTCCAGCTCTCTATTTGTATCTCTCTTTTGAGTCCATATTTGCATGACATTGTTTTTTTTGTTTTTTTTTTTTAACTTGGTATAACCTTTGAGGGCGGTTGACCATGACGTAATTCCTCTCCTCCCAGAATTTTGGGTATGCATATACATGCACCCAGTGTTTTTCTTCACTGGAACCATGTGGTGGGCCATGTGGAGTCCAGCCACCTTAAGCTCCATGCCGTCTGCTGGCCCAATGTTACATATTTTATGGGTTTTGATAACTGTATAATGACATGTCCAGAACTAATTTTTAAATATTCGGTATTATGGAGCCTTATGTCTGTAGTGTAGTATATACTAATAAAAAGTAGTTGTTGGGACTAGCAGATGGCATAGTGGTTACATTGCTGGATTCCCACATAGTGACTGCAGTTTGAGTCCTGGACCTGGTGGCTTAAAACTCACAGCAGGTGCCAGTGTATGTACGTGCCAGCTCAAAATTCCAAGAAGAGAATGGAGGAGAAGGGATGGTGGTGTGGCCTTCGCCTTTGGGGGATGATTTCTTGCTTTCTGTCTCTCTTAGTTCCCTGTGAGAGCATGCGCCCCTATCACAAATCTCTCTCAAGAAAAAAAACTAGGGACTAGCAGTTGGCGTAATGGCTATGTCGCTGGACTCCCATGTAGTCTACCACAGTTTGAGTCCTGGACCCAGTGGCTTAAACTCAACGCTGGGCGCATGTGCATGCATGCCCAAGATACTGAGAGGAGAAGGGGTCGTGGGGTGGCCATCCCCCCAGGGGGTGATTTCTCACTTTCTGTCTTTCTGTCTGTCTCTGTCTTCCTGGCGAGTGCATGCGCCTTATAGCAAAAACCTCTCCCAAAAGAAAAAAATACTAGCTGTACTCCCTGGAGGGTGATTTCTTCCCTCTCTCTCCCCAGTGGGGACATCCACCCTATGGCAAAAACTTAAAAAAAAAAAAAAAAAGGAAAGAAAGAAAAGAAAACGTTGTTTGCATTTTTAAATATAGATTTTGTAAGCTTTTTGGATTGTAAAATCTGTTTCGTTATAATTTTTACAAGCCACTTTCTTTGTTCTTTCAGAAAATAAACAGAGTTGTCTTCGTTGGAAACTTTTTACGTGTCAATACTCTCTCAATGAAACTCCTGGCATATGCACTGGATTATTGGTCTAAGGGTCAACTGAAAGCATTGTTTCTAGAACATGAGGTATGATAGAAAAATAGTGTTTCTTGAATGTTGACAACATGCTTTTATATACAAGTTATAGTGGACAGTTGTACCTTGTATTTATAAAAAGTGAAAGTATACAGTATTTAGAATATTGATTTTTAAAATTTCATTTGGAGAAGGGAAGTTACTATAACCTGGTAGGCATCCCATTAAGGTTAGAGTTTCTGGACCAGCAGGTAGTGTGGTGGGTAAGGTGTTGGACATTCCCACATTGCCAAACACAGTTTGAGTCCCAGACTTGGTTACTTTCTTACTTTCTTTCCCTCTGTGGGTCTGTCTCTCTCAGGTCAAATTAAAATAAGAATAAATAAACTTAAATAAGTAATTCTTTAAAAACAAAAAAACAAACAAAGATCAGAGTTTCACTGTTCTGAACTAGAGAGCATTCTGAGGTCTGTAAGCTCCTCAAGTACTTGGGTTACTTATATACTTGTGGGTATTTTTGTTTCATGAAATTGTTTCTTTTCTGGTTTTCCTCCTGAGGGTACAAATGTTAAATATGAACAATACAAAGAATTATCAGTTAGTAATGAAAATTCTCTAATTCTCTGACTGCAACCTCACCTTACCACCAGAAGTAACTACCATTAGTATTTGTAATTTATTTAGTTATCGATTGATTGATTGCCACAGGGCATGTTTGCTGGCCCCAGAAAGGGAGACCATCCTTCCCAACAGGGCGTGGTCATGCCACAAATTCCTTCTTTGTTTCTTCCTCCTGTCCAGATTTTGAGAGCACATGCACTCACTGTGATTTTCTTTTCTTTTTTTTTTTCCCCTCAAAAATTATTTACTTAATTTTAAAAATTATTATTTTTCCATTTCAACAGGGGTGGGTATTGTGAAAGCAAGCCACCGGGTCTGATAACTTCTCAGATCAGAATTTAGCTAGATGTAGTAAAGGAATAGGGGAAAATAGGTTTAAGAATAAATTCCAGTGCGGAGTCTATAGCCTCGTGGTTAAGGGAATGAATCTCACCTGGCCTGCAGGGAGCAGCCAGATCTAGGGGGGAACCTTTAAAGTAGGTATGGCCATTGGGCTAACGCTACAGGGCAAGAGAAAGCTCTGAAGAAGGCGTCTTCTACTGTCGCATGGCAGTGCATACTGAAAAAAGAACATACAAGAAAACGAACCATGGGCAAAGTTGGAAATAAGAGAATTGTGTGCAGATTCCAGAAAGCTTAGTGACTGTCAGAGAAAGCCAGGAGAGAACCACGAGAAGCAAGATACCTCACAGCTGCAATCGGTCACGGATAATATCCGACTTGCCCTTCCCTATGAAAGAAGTAACTGCAGAACAGCTCAGTGCCGCGGCCATCTCCGTCAGAGACGCCTGGTCCGCTTGACCCCCGCTTTTTTTTTCTCTTGTTCTTTCTCAGTCCGCTGCAGCTCCCATTCAGGGTTCACGTCCCTCAAACTTCTTAGGCCAAAGCACAGGCCCTCTGAGATTCAAAGATCAGTCCCAAGAGGGGAATGGAGAAGGGATTGTGGCATGGCCATCCCCTCTTGGGGATGATTTCTCACTTTCCCTCTGTCTCTTTCTGGCATGTGCATGTACCCTATAGCAACAACGACTACAAATTAATAACAGAGGCTCAAAGTATTCACTCTTCCAAGCTTCCATATCTCATCACTGCTTTCAGAGTGAAGTGTGCTTGTGCAGTTAATGAGAGAGGCAGAGTTGCAGGGAGTTTGTTTATTGAGTAAAGGGGAGCGGGTTCGGAATTGGCTATGTAAGTCCTGAAAGCTTTAGTGTCTGAAGCCACACTTGAAAAATACATATTTTGGGGCCAGCAAGTGGTGTGATAGTTAAGATGCTATAACTCCCACATGACTGACTGTGGTTCAGGTCCTGGAGGCTTACTTTCTCACCTTCTCTCTCTGTCTTAGTCTGATCAAATTATTGTAATAATAATAAAAATAATAAACTTAAATAAACATTTAAATATATAAGTATATATAGGATCTTTAGAAAAATCATGATGCATAGAAAAACAGAAAAATATGTCATGACTTTTCCAGAGACCCAGTTTATTTCTAAGATGTATGTGTACAGAAAAGAGACTAAAAAAAATTTTATAACAACACAGAATTACAGATTTTTAAATGTTACTGAACAAATTTTACATAAACGTGTGTTCTTAATAAATAGTGAATACTGTGGGAACCAGCAGTTAGCGTAATGGCTATGTCGCTGGACTCCCACGTAGTTGACCGTGGTTCGCGTCCCAGACCCGGTGGCTTAAAACTCACGCCGGGCGCGTGTGTGTGCGTGCCCAAGATCCCGAGAGGAGAATGGAGGAGAAGAGATTGCGGCGTGACCATTCCCCCTGGGGGATGATTTCTCGCTTTCTGTCTCTATGTCTCTCTCTGTCTGTCTGGCGAGCGCACGCGCCCTATAGCAAAAAAAAAAAACCTCTCCCCCAAAGAAATAGTTAATATTGCATGCTAATTCAAAAGCTATTCTACATTAACAGTTGTTTAAAAATTACACAGGGATACTTCGGAGCAGTTGGTGCACTTCTTGGGCTACCAAATTTCAGCTAAAGCATCAGGTCTCTTTTTCCTAATGTCATCCAAGAGGAACTGAACCAGAGGCATTATTACTCCGCTGTTTGTCACTGGGAACCAAAGGATAAAAGCACTATTCTTGTTGATGTGAAGTGTCAGAGTGGTGAGCTGCTGAATGTTGCCATATGAAAAGAGAGCTTGGTAACATATGAAGTGTTTCTCACTGAAATGCTTTCCCTGTTGTATATAGCCAGTATTAAATCCTTACATGCAATACAGCCTCTTATTATTGAGCTTCCTTTCCAAAAGGTTTTCTATTCATCTTATGTAGCCACTTGCAGTACTGTATGCTCAAATACAAATCTTAAAGTCTAACATATTTGTTTAGCTTAAAAAATATTTGATTTCAAGTATCTGTTACAAATCTGTTTATGTGTGTTTTGGTTACTAGTGAATGGACATATCTTGTGTCAAAAATTACTGAAATGGCAATCAAAGATGATAATTTTTATGAGGTTTTAGAAATGTTCCAGCAATATTATTATTTTAATTCTTCTAACCTATCCCCCCACCCCCAAAAGCATGTTTATGCGATCTTCCCCAGAGGTATAACTTTTCTCAAATGCCATATTTTCATTGAAGTACTACTGTTAAATTTTAGCCTGAATTAATACATCAACCCTGGAAAATCCACATGCTTGGTAACATTACATTTTGTGTTTTATGTTAGGTAGCATATGTTAAAATGTTTAATGTTACTTTAAAATGAGAGGCTTTTACTTTCCTATTTGGGAGTCTGTCTAATAAGGTCCTTGGACTGTTCTAGTGGAATGTGGTTTGAGTACATTGAAGATTTCTGTGCTTTTTTCTCTACCACATTGATCTCAGGCCCAGACTTGGTCGATCATCTTTTTTTATCAGATACGAACCATCCAAGCTAAAGACTGTTCTCCAAGTGGATGTTTCGGAAACCTAAAATGTTATTTTGCAACTTCGTGGGAGTCTGAGGCGGCATTGCAGAATTATAAAACAATCAGTGTTTCATACCCTGGTGATAATAGCATTATAGTTCCAAACTTTGTAAGTCCTTGGAATGTATTCGCCATTTTGAATTTGTGTTTTACAATGTTACAGAACCTTTCTGGTTTTTACAGTGACAGTAACATTTTGAGCTCCAGAAGTTCAGTGAATTTGTTCAAATAACCATTGCTTAAGGTTTAGGAAGAAAAAAAGACTTTGGGGAAAATTCACCTCTGTAAATTACCAGTACTAGAAGTACCTTGAAGAGTTTGGAAACTGTTTACACTGCATGAAGGAAGTATTACTATATCTTTTTATAGATCAGAGTTTGGCCCAGGAGGGAGCAATTTTCATTAGACTGTAAGAGGTGCTTGATAAAGACATTTCTCCGTGTAGATTTCAGTTTGTGCTCATACATTCAAAATCTGGTTTTCTTTACCTAAAGATATGAATATATGAATAGTAGGAATTGACTAGGGAGAAAAGCACATAAATCATTTTTTAGAGTTTATACTATTTTGGAACTTTGAAGTCTGTGAGTTAGTAGTCCTTTCAAAACCTACAAAGACTTCATGTTTTTTTCCTTTAATATTTTCATTGTATTGACTAGATATTTCAGCCAAATGTCACTGGGTCAGTTTGTGTTAAAAGTTTCTGATTTGAGGATCTGTACAGAAGAGAATCTTGTTAAATGATAGTAACTACAAACGTTATACCTGTGGCAAACTCTGTTAGCAGCTATTGATGTAGGGCAGTCTTTAAGGGAAAAAACAGTGTCATCAAAATCTGTTTTAAGATAGTTCAGTCATAGTGACTGTAATTGATTTATGTTGTCCTCAAACTGAAGCTACCTGCTAAAAAATGTATGTGAAGTGAACAGCCATCTCACCAATGTTGCTCTTAGCTTCTCTGTTTGCAACCTAGAATTACTGGAGTGGTAAGTAGGAACTTGTGAAGGCTGCCAAGATTTCAATGTTCTTATGATCTCAGATTTTCTGTAAGCATACTGCTCTGGGAAATAGGTTTGATGTGGAGGCAGCATAATGCCTCAAAGCCTGTTCTTGAACAGTGCTGTCTAATAGTAATAAAATGGGAACCATGTACACAGTCTGTTTTAAGTAAGCACACTGAAAACAGTTCACTTTGGAGATGCTCTTCCACTTAGAATGGGGCTGTGTCGTGTAAACCTCGCCTAAGTCGAAAGCATCCCAAGTTACAAGTGGGCATGTTGGTAGGAGTGACGGGATCTGAAAACACAGTATCTGAAGTACGCCGACAACATAGTGCACCATAGAGTCCCAGATGTTCACGTGTGTCTGTGGCTGCCTGGGAGCTGTGGTTTGTTGCCACCACCCAGCGTTGCTAGCCTGAGAACAGATGAGAATTCACAATTTTAAGTGAATGTATATCACTTTCACACCATTGTATGGTTGAAAAATCATAGGTTGGACCATCCCAAGTTTTATTTAACCCAGTATATACAGTATGTTACTCTTCCAACATATACTCATTACAAAAAATTACTTAGGAGATACTTGGCCCATTTGTCCTTAGACTTTATAACCAGTGTGTACTTTACCTGTAGCACATCTTCACTTGGACTAACTGCATGTCACAGGATAATCACGTGTGTAGTGACTGGTGTTGGACATTGCTGTTCTAAAACTACTTAAGAATGAATGGTATGGTGTGTTCATGAAAACTTTCTGAATGGGGACTTTTTAAAGAATTGCTATTTTAGTTAGCTATAGGGCTAACTCGCCAGAGAGAAACAGAATGAGGGAAAGTGGAAAAGCATCCCCAGGGGGAATGGCCATACTGCAGTCCTGTCTCCTCCATTCTCCTCTAGAGATTTTGGGGCCCAACACACACATGCCCAGAGTGGTTTTCAAGCCACACTGGGAATAGGACAGCACAGTCTGCCGTATGAGATGGCACCACCTGGACCACCATACCTCTAGCTGGCCCTATAAGCTTGTTTTTTAAATACAGAGAGGATAAGAAATAGCTTACTTGGGACAGTTTGTTTTTATACAGATAAGTATTTCTGACCATTCCAAATATGTATGTTGTTCATTGGAGCAGAAATGAGTCCAATGACTTCGTTTCTAAAATTCTAATAGAACTTCTGGCAGCCTTTTTCTTTTTTTTTTTTTTTGAGAGTTTTTT